TGTCATTAATTTATAACACTGGAGTTTAAACTTCTGCATAAGTTGGGAGCGGGGCGGGGGGGGGGGGGGGGGGGGTAGTGCTGCCTCCCTTGCAGATCCATGTCCCCGCCCCCCCCCCCCCCAAAGCTGTTGGCTTTCTCACAACTTGCAGAACTTCCAGAAACCGATAAAGAGAGTGCCTGAAAATGAAACCAAGCACAGGGGACAAGCCTAAGGAAGGGAGGAGGGGAATTGGGTCCTGTGGTGCAGGCTGAGTTTCTTCAGTCTAGGCATTTGGTGAGTTATACCAATACAACCCAGTTTTGGCGTCCTTGCTTCTAGTCCCACTCAGGCTTAGACCATCTTCCTCTGCTCTCCTTTGCACTGACCCACAGCTGCAGACTCAGCCTGGCTGCTCTTTCCTGAAACCCTCTCTGGTTGTCACAGGTGACACCCTTGTCTTACTTGACAGTGCCCTTGGTGCCCCCATCACCCACTTTCAGTGTAACGAACACTTTCCATATATAAATAAAATTGGGGTCTGAGTGCTGTCTTCCAGCCACAGTGAGAATAAATTCAACACAGATTATTCAAATTTGCATTAATTGTTATACAGTTCAGTTTCAAATTTTGGGTGTAAAATAGTTAGAGTAAGCTAGACTCTACTTAGTGTCAGTGAGAAGCCCAGAATGTTTAATCTGTGGGAACTGTGTTGTTCATCAAATGGCTGTTCTGGATGTTTACTTGATGTAAACCTATAAGCACCATTTAGGCCATGGGCATTGATTCTGGATAAGATTAACACTTTATAGAGTTCACTCATCTGTCTGAAATTTTAAGATTTTTTTTCTCTCCTTGAAGAACTGATAATAATCCTTCACACTCTGGCAAAAAGACTTCAGGAAGAAGAGGAAATATTAAAAATAAAGTGAGGGCCTGTGGTACCATTCATTTACACCAGCTCAGTACCTGTTCAGATTTGTGTGGCTCTGGGTTAATCTCCTACAGTTACTGGCACTGAGGCAAGCCCCTGTTGTGAAGTCATGACAGGGTCTGCAGAGATTACCAAAGGCAGATGAAAGGAGGAGCAGCAGTGTGAAGTCTGCTCTTGCCCTCACTCTTTGTACCGCCTCTCTGCTTTTCACAGCCTCAGTGGGCTCCTTGGACACTGGCTATCTCAGATAGGCACTGACACTGAGGCCATCAACTTACCACTCTCTCTAAAGCGGAATGCAGAATGAACTCTTACAGTACAGCCTCTTTGTGATTTAAGTTGTTGCATTGTTACACTAAGGATGACGCAAATAGAACATGATTATTGAGGATCTTACCACTTATCCTGTTGTGCACAGCAATAGGAACTCTCATGGCAATAACACTGCCAGAGAGGTGTTTGTCTCCCTCCCTGAAAGCATCCTGGTGACTCTGTGGCCAGGCTGACTGGTAACTATAGGGTCACTCCTATTGGGTTCACATTCTGTTCTAGCAGATGCTGCTGGTGTAACAGATGCAGCCTAGTGTAGCAAATTGAGCAAGAGTGTTCAAGCATGTTTTTGACCCCATTTTCAGAAGTGATGATATAGCCTAATTGAAACTAAAATTGTATTTTCTTCTCCAACTGTCAGAAAAACATACAGAACCATGGGGGTTTTACCCATGATTTAGGAATATAAGTTATATCCCTTTTGGCTCCTACTCTGTAATTTTGAGGTATATTTGAAAAATGTCATTTTATCTTCCTGAAGGCTAGACTAATTAGTTAGTTCAGATATGTGCTCATTCTTTTTTATTACTTACATAGCCAGGAGTAGATTTAAATTTGAAGATTTATCTAAACCATTAAAAAATTTAAGATTAAAATTTTTAGTGTGTGGCTGGAGAGAGAGCTCAGTGGTTCAGAGCACTGGCTGCTCTTCCAAAGGACCTAGGTTCAATTCCCAGCACCCACATGGCAGTTCACAACTGTCTGTAACTCCAGTTCCAGGGAATCTGACACCTTCACACCAATGCACATAAAATAAAGTTAATTAAATTATTTAAAAAATTTTTAGTGTGTGTGTGTGTGCATGTGTACAGTTGTGTGTGTACAGTTGTGTGTGTGCACATGTGTACAGTTGTATGTATGTGGGTGTGTTTCGTGGCCAATGAGCAACCGTCATAGTCCTCTAACATGTTTTCGGAGCTTATCTTAGAGCACGTTTCATTTTTCTCAGCAATGCTCATGTTTCCTGAAGATGACTTAAAGGCTAGCATGTCATTATTATATTTATTCTAGATATTGTATGTTTTATACTGTGGCCAAATGCTTTCCCTTGTTTGTTGTTTGTTTGTTTGTTTGAGAAAAGATCTTACAATGTAGCCTTGGCTAGCACAAAACTAAGAATAGTCTGAAGCTTGCAGTCACCTGCTTCAGCCTCCACAGCAGTGCTGGAGTGCAGGCGTCAGCCTCCATGCTCAAGTCTATAAATGCTGCTTTTTGTGAATTTCATTTTCAGGTATGTTGTTGATATATTTGCATTGTGAATGTTTCCAAATTTTACCTTTCGTACAACTGCAGTTCTTCTGTGAATTTGTTCAAATTTCCTTCGTACTTGATTCTCTAGTGGACAAGCTTACCCACTCCTCTTCTAAATTATGATAACTTTATTTATTTTTGTTTATTAAGACCAGGACCTTCACTGACTGTGATTTCCACCACAATGGTGACAGTTTCAAAAGGGAAATAAGTTATAGGAATTTTTTAGGCCAGGCCTCATGTAAGCCAGGATGGCCTGGAATTCACTGTGTAGCCAAGAGTGGCCTTGACCTTTTCTGATATTCCTAAATGTTGAGATTACTGGTTTGTGGATACCACACCCAGTTTACATAGTGCTAGAACCTGAACCTAATGCCTTGTGTGTGCTATGGGCCACACACACACACACACACACACACACACACACACACACACACACTCCATCCTGCCACACACACACACACACACACACACACACACACACACACACACAGTGCAAATGTTTAAGTGTGATATTGGGTGTTGTAGGTTTGGTCTTCTAATAGTTTATTTAGGAATTTTAGGTCCAGATTCACAAATGAGCAACTCATGTTATTCTTACTCTTTTTATATCTATCCTAAGTCTCATTTCCAAGGGTTTGATAGATTCTCAGCACAATGGGGGTTAAGAGCTGTTTCCTCTTTACTGTCTGAAAGTGTTTGGGAAAGAGGAGCATAACCAGTTAGAATTCACAAGGGAAGCTGCCACAGCTAAAATGTCTTGTTTTGTGTCTACTTTTTAAAAGTTTTAATTACAAGTACAATCTTAAGTAAGACAGTTGGGGTATTCTCTGTCTTCTAGTGTCCCTTGTGTTAGCTGCCATTCTCTAAGAGTGTGTCCATTTCATCCAAATGTCAGATTAGCTGGAAGTTGTCTGTGCTGCTCTCTTATGTGTTCATGATGTTAGAATATGCAGCATGCTCACTCTTGTTCTCTCATTGAACTTTCCAGAAATTCATCCATTTTTGTTGCTCTTTTCAATCAGTTAATTATCTCATTCTCATTACTGTTTGTTTTCTCAAGAGTTACTTAGAAATATATTCAAATATATTATAGGTCTTTTGTTCCTCTCTAGAAAATAGTTTATGTTTCCACTTGATCAAAAAACATACTATCAGCCCAGAGGTGGTGGTGCACAACTTAATCCCAGCACTCAGGGGGCAGAGGCCAATGGATCTCTGTGAGTTCAAGGCCAGCCTGGTCTACAGAGTGTGTTCCAGGACAGCCAGAGCTGTTACACAGAGAGACTGTCTTGAAAAAGTAAAGAAATTAGCAAATAGCATACTATGAAATGTTTTCCTCGTTGCTTTACTGGTGTAAGGGAAGGCCTTGGTGCCACTGTTGGGTGGCTGTTCTATGTCCATAGTCTGACCTCTTTGTGATGTGTGAGTCTTCCACATCCTCTTTGCCTCCTCTCCTGCTTATCCAGCCAGTCACTGAGAGAAATGTACTATGATGCCACTGGTGAGTGTTTCTACTTAAAGTTACAGGGTCCTTGCTTTAAGCCCACATTACAAAATACATACAAATTGGGAGTTTTTCTGTTTTCCTAAAACCTGAACACATAGCCAGCATTAAGTGTACTTCTTCACCTCTGGTGATTGTTTTATCTTCAAGGAAACACATGGATGCATCAGTTTTCTTTTGATTATTATGTTCATAGTAAATTTTACCATTTTTTCTCTTTTCTGCCTCTCTATTTTAGATATTGGCATAAAATGGCAGGTAGTTTAGCTTATTTACCAACATGTGCCAATCTTGATCTTGAAGAATATAGTTGATATGTTTAATGTAAATAAATATAAATTCACATCCATGTTTTGAGGTTGATAACCCTTTAGAAAATAATCTTGTAGCTTTAGGAAATACCTCATTACAGTGCATAAGTTGAAGAAACTGTTGAGTTGTTGAGATGGTTCAGTGGGTAAAAGGCTCTTGCTGTGAACTCTGATGACCTTAGTTCAATCCCTGGGACCCCCATGATGGAAGGAGAGACCAGCCCTGGTAGCTGCTCTGCAGCTTTCAATACATATGGGCCATGTGCATTTGTATGCTCACATGCATGGGCACACAATAAATAGAGTTTTAAAAGAAGTGTCTCTGATTTGCCTACATATCTGCAGGAATATGGAAGTGTCTTCATCTCTGACTTGGCTGAAATGTCTTAGACTATTTCTAATTGAGTGTTTGAGGTGTGGTATGCGTCTCCTCCCTTGTCTTTGTCATGATGCAGTTTCAGTACACACAGCATTGCCATTTTGCTTCTTTTGTTTGTTGTAGTTGTTGGTGGTGTTTGAGATGGGTCTTACTGTAGCACTGGCTGGCCTGCAACTCATTGTGTAGACCAGAGAGACTCACCTGCCTCTGCATACTGAGTGCTGGTGTATACCCCCACACCCAGCCAACAAAATGTTTTGTAATCTGTGTTTTGTAAAATACTGTAACAGTTTCACACTTGCTCCACAGGGCTGTGACTCCCAGGTGAGCTTGTCAGAAGTGTCCTGTGGGGAAAGTACATCCTCCTGTCAGTCTCTTGAACATGGCTCCGTTCCAGAGATCCTCATCGGTCTCCTCTACAATGCCACCACTGGAAGACTGTCAGCAGAAGTGATCAAAGGCAGCCACTTCAAAAACCTGGCAGCAAACAGACCACCCAGTGAGTGAAAATAAAATAGTTTTTATCCCAATGATTTCTGTACTTAGGGTGCTCCCATCATTTTAGTATTAACCAATCACAGTGAAACACTGAATCATTAGCCAACCTGGATTCTGTTTTCCATTTCCAGTCATTTGGGAAGTAGAAAATGTGAAATTCAAAATATTAATTGTATGGTAACAGAAATTCTAACTTTTTACAGTGTCTGCAGAATAAATTATCCCTATTGTAGCCATTATCTTTTAATGTCAGAAGAAGTTACAAGGTTTTAAAAAGTAGTTACTATTCAGATATTAACAGAAGAGTATGTAGCTTTTGTTAGCTGAAGATTAATGTTGTGTTTTCTATCTGTGTGCAGTACTCTGAGCTAATGTATCTACTTCTGTATTTCCCTTCTTTTACCCTTAACACCTCATGCAGAAAGTATTTTCTTGAATTTTCTTCTTCTTTGAAATTATAGGTGTTAAGGATGGAGTTGGGTGGTACACTATGTACTTAGCATGTACAGGCCTGGGTTTTAGCACCAGCACCACATTAAAAAAAAAAAAAAACACAAAAAGCACCACCCTACATAGTCAGCAAGACTTTTTCTTCCCAGTACAAATGAAATCAAGACAGTGCTTGCCCAAGGTGGACTGAATGGGGAGCAAAAGGCATCTGTCTGCGCTGACTGTCCCCTCTCCTATGCCCTCTCTCTGTCTACTGAATATGAGAGTAGGTTTAGGAAGTGCTGGGAAATTGTCCCCACCCCACTCCAGAACTGTTTATGTCTGTGAGCCAGATCTAAATGGAGAAAGAACAACTCTAAATTTCTATAAATTAAACTTGTTCAATGAAGGTGAAACATTATAAAAAGATAGTAGGTTTGTGCCAAGAAATGTTGGGGAACTTACTTCATAAAATACATCTATCCCTAAATTGAGAAATCTGGAGGGCAAGTCTAGAGAGATGACTCAGCATTAAGATTTCTGGTTGTTCTTACAGAGAACTCAGGTTCAACTCCTAGTACCCAAATGGTAACTCACAACCATCTATAACTCTAGTTCCAAGGAACCTAATCCATTTTTATGGCCTCTGCAGGTACTAGATACACACATGGTGCACAGACATACTTGTAGGCTAAACATCCATACACATAAAATAATACTTAAAAATTTTTAAAGAAAAATATATAGAGAAAAATTATAATCTCCATAGACAAATGGCCTGACCATGCAAGTCTGTTTCTTACTAGGTAAAGTTAAGTTTATGTCTCTTACAGGGCAATTGTGACAAAGGCATATAAAAGTAGAATTAGTACCATTCACTTTCTCATTTCAAATAGAAACCCAAGTGTGTGAAAGAATACACTGAGTGCAAGCAGGCTGGGAAGTCTGATTTGATTGTCTTCATCCAAACACAGTAAGAATCTGTTCACAAAGGACTGTAGAGAACCTGAATGAGATTTGCAGCTGGGCACATGTAAGCGTGTAAGGCCATGACAGCCACAGCAGTGCTTCCCTGACCACATGACATTGATTGTAACACTACACCAGGAGACAAGCTAGCTGTCAGTCTGTGTCTCAAGCTTAAGCTGGCAGTTCAGTAAATTTTCACAAGTACTTATTGGACATGTCAAACAGGATGAAATGATAGTGTGATATAGAAATACAGCGCAGGAAGTCAGACTGAGAGGAGAGCAAGGCAAGGTCAGGCAGGAAACATTTAAGGATGTTAGGCACCTACAACATGGAGTCTGTCCTTGGGACAAAAGGGTGACCTCACTTGCCATTGCTTTAGAGTTAGATCTTCAGCCTCGGGTTGATTAGTGATGTTAGCTAGGGAGTCATTAGTAAGTAAATAAAGCCAACCTTTTAAAATAATAATATAAAGGTAAGGCATTCAGAAAAGACATGTCAGATATTTGCAAAGCAAAATTGAAGACAATTTTGTCACTATGTCCTAAATTGTAAGATTATAGCCCTTCATGGATACTCAGGTCTAAGCTGTGAACTGCTGAAAACCAGGTAACCTCAGATTCCCCCCAAGAAGCAGGAACAATACTCAAAAGCAAGTATTCTGACATTTGTATTTCATTTTGTATGACTGAGTTCTTGATTATATTGGAAGTAATCAGACTATTTGAAATTCTAAATATTGCATGGGTAAAGTTAAAATGTATCACAATAATAATGATCCTATAATGATTATAGTCAATCTTTTATAGCCTGATACTTTGCATGATTCTATTTGTTCAATGTGCTTTAGACCAAGAAGATACCATTATAAATATGCCCCCTCTTAAAACAGTGTAATTTTTGTTTAAGATTACACAATGATGTTATTTTTTTCATTCCATGAAATTTATAAAACAGCCCTTTGTTCAACCCTCTACTTTAATTAAAATGCTAAAGTTTTATGTTTTTCCACTCAAGTGCACAGTGTTTCCTCTTTAATTCTGACCTTTGACCCTCTTTCACCCAAAGATTGACATCTGGTCATTATTTCTTTTACTGCTTTCCACCCCCTGTTGTCAGATGGACTGTTCTGTTGTCTAAAACACTTGATAGGTGGACAGGTTTATATAATCCGAGGTGAGTTCCTGTAGAGGCTAATTGGATGTTGTCTTTTCATGCAAAAACAAAATGCCCTAAAACTTGCCAGCAGTGAGACTGTCCACCATGTTGGTTTCCAAAACAATGCACATTTTTATCTGTGGTATTTTAAATAAAACTAACTTAGACTTTATCTCTGATTATGGATGATGGTATTCAGAATATTAACAAATGAACAAAACTTTTTAAGATAAAGGTTATTTTTATTTCTTTGTATTTTGATTTATGATAGAAATAGATATCTCATGAGGCCATTGCAATTATCTTTGAAATTTTGATATGAAGTACACATGATGGATCAACATGCTGAGATCATTTGCATGAGTCTAACAGACTTGAAAAGTCTTTTAAAGAGAGAATATATCTCCTATATAAAAAGGCCTTGAAGTGTTACATTTCACTTTGTACACCAAACATCATGTCAGTGTTTTTTTAATTGATGAAAATAATTAAAATATCATTCTTAAAATTTTACATTAAATTATACCTGAAAGAAACCCAATAGTATTTAACTACCTATCCACCCATCCCCCCCAAAAGCACATTAAATGTACTCTTGCATGAAACTGGAAGAAAGTTTTACTTGGTTTGTTAAACGTTGACCCCCTTAAAGTATTTGGCTTCATTGGCCCTTAAATGTTTTCAATATATATTAAAACCACATCCATGCAGAGATTTTTTTGACATTTCATCTTAAGCTGTTTCAGTGTCACCTTTGCATTCTTGTCTTCCTCCTTCCCTCCTCACCATCTGCCTTCATTCTATTTGTTTGTTTACTCTTCCTCTCTGGAAACAGTGGAATGCTGTAGTGTTGTGGCTAATTGAGCTTGCTAAGTGTCTATTAATGCTATGATGTCCCGCTTAGTGGAGAAATACGGTGGCGATGGGCAGGGGAGGCTGTGGGAGGCCAGTGAGGGGTGGGAGGGGAAGGAAGGATTATGAGGTATACCTGTAAATCCCACTCCTAGAAATAGTGAGGCTAAGCCATTACTACTGTCTAAGTGTTTTCAGCCAACTTAGCATTCTCTATACTTGTCACATATTTAATAAGCGTCTACATCAAAATTGAGTTAGTTCAGTTTCCATCAAACATGGTATACACCATATCCTTATACAGTGTGACTACCTTATCTTGGCATTTATCATAAGAAAATTGTCAGTTTGTTTCAAATGATGTTTGTGGTGTGTTGGTTTTTTTCCTTCAGATACATATGTTAAGTTAACACTGCTGAATTCCATGGGCCAAGAGATGTCCAAATGCAAGACATCCACCCGCAGAGGGCAACCAAACCCGGTGTACAAGGAAACTTTTGTTTTTCAAGTGGCCTTGTTTCAACTTTCCGATGTGACTCTCATCCTGTCTGTGTATAACAGGCGCAGCATGAAAAGAAAGGAGATGATAGGCTGGATTTCCTTAGGTCTGAACAGCTCTGGGGAGGAGGAGCTCAGACACTGGACTGCAATGAAGGAGTCCAAGGGACAGCAAGTGTGCAGGTGGCATGCCCTGCTGGAGTCCTGAGGAAAACAGCCGTAAGCCCGGCACTGCCGTCATTGTTTCCTGGTCGCCATCAGAGGAGCTGTGCCCTGGAGAGTCCTCGTCCACACCCTGCCACAATGCTTCACACTTATAGAAGGACCATGCAGTGCTGAGCTGAGGGAAAGGAGGCTTTGTCTCTCATGAGAAACCAAGAAATTTGTGTCAGTAGTGTTCAGCAGTCCTCCAGAAATTGAGTAACATACTTTTGATTTGAAGTTTATTTTATTTACTGAAAGAGCTAGGGATTTCATGGAGATTGTGATTTTAAAACCAGAATTTCCATTGCAGCACTACAAATCATCGTCCACATGCTATCCATAAAGCATCATGAGGGCCAGTCCTTGGGTGGATCTCCGTGATCGCAGTCATATCTCAAGGTTCATTTACACTGATGATAGTGTCATTTCAGATATGCTCGCTCTGTGCCTCAGACTTTCTTTATAGTACTAAACCCAAGTGCAAAATTCTCTCAAGGAAAGTTTAAGGTTGGTTTCTTTGGAGTTTATTTCTTTACTTCTTTCTTTTTTCTGATCCAAAGAGACCATGCCCCATCGGTCCCTTGCAAACTTTTCTGATGGTACTGCAGAAACTTCATAACTTTATGTTCAATGCCTTTGTGTACTGTATGTTCCAGTTTAGAAAATGGTGGAGCAAAACCCTCCTTTGGAATTGCTTTCGGTGGTCAGTCTTTACAGCTGTGTGGTGTGGCAGCCATGGTAGATAGCTGATGAAAATGGAAGACAAAGGAATTTTGACCATCTGTTCCAAGTGTCGAGTGTTCAACTGGAGTAAAGCAGGTAGCATCAGAACAGAAGCTCCTGGAGTTCTCGCTCTCTCCCATTTCTTTGTGGTTCTCAGCTTTAATCCAGTGAAGATCATTCTGAGGTCCCTTGTGCTCTAGCGACTTGTGCTGTGTTTTGTGGTGTCTTCAGCGTGATGTCACTCTGTGCCTTTCATGCAAGTTGACCTTGCTTACACAGCTGGGAAGCAGTTTTTGCAAACTTGGCCTTCAGCACTCATAGGTGTGAAGCTCCTTGGCAGTGCCATGGCCTTGCCCCACTCTGCAGCATGTGAGGCTGTGCACTGTGCTGGCCTTCACAGGCCCAGCACTTTCCTGTCTTGTGTTCACATATAGAAACTATAGGCCAATTGGATATGATGTAAACTATTTTCTTTTAGTTTTTCTTTTACCTAACATAAAAATTTTATGCATATACTTTACTATGTACATGAAATTATTTTCTTTTTGCTCTTTCTCATTTCTAGTTAAACTAGACAAAAATGTACTATTTGCCAATTAGCGAAAAGCTGTATCACAGTTGTTCCAACCCCAGCTGAGCACCCTGGACTGTTACTGTGAACCAGGACTCATCAATACCATGCTAACAGAGCCACACCTTGATTTATTAAAATGTGGCAGTACTGAAAGGCCTTAAAAAACACACGCAAAGGGCCATGAACAGAAGTTAGCTGTTTTAGAAGTTAGAACATTTTTAGCTTAAAAGAAGGCATCTCTGTGCTTTCAAACACAGCATTTTAAAGGGAAAAATACAAATAGGAAACATGGAGTTAGTTTAAAGGCAGAAATTTCAGAGCCTAGCATAGTGGCTTATCCCTGTAATCCTAGCACTGGGGAGGCTGAGGCAGGGGGACTGCTGTGAGTTTGAGGCCTGCCTAGGCTACATAGTCCCAGGCCATCCTTGACTACAGAGGGAGAACTGTCAAAAAATAAAAATATGTTTAAAAGTTGCATTAGAAAGGAAGCATCAGGACTGGGGAGGTGGCTCAGCCACTAAAGGCTAGGTTCACAACCAAAAAGAAAAAGAAAACATCCTTCTGTCATTCTATCAGTGAGATTCCCAGGATTGGTTTTTGGAGCTTGATGTTATTTTAAATAAAGTGAATAAGGTTAGAAATTAAACCATGAACAAGAAGCAAAAATAGTTGTTGGGTTTTTTGTTTGTTTGTTTTTTAAGTGTTGTTGAAGAGCATAATAAGGCAAAATGTGAAGAAGGCTCTTAGGTTACACTGCAAATTGGGTGCAGGCTTTGGATGAGCTTTTGCTGACTTTGAAACAATCAACTGCACGGCTAACAACGGCTGTCTTCCTAATAAAGCCACTGGTCTTCTTTGTAACGAAGTTCAGTTGGACATTATGAGACCAGCTTGGTGCTTTCACTGTATGGAGAGGAAAACCTGCTATTTGTTAACCCTCCTTCTGGAGACTGCCCAGAACTGTGTGTACTGCCCAAGCTCCTCAGGGGTGTCCCGTGTAAGTGTCACTTCATGTATGGCCTGGAAAGTGATTTCAGTCTTCTTTAACATCAAAAACAGCCCTCCCTCCATCCCATTTTCCAAGTCCTCAATGATTATAAATTGTATGTGTGCACATAACTACACACACAGCATAATGTGCCGTGTGCTTACAAAAGTGAAGGTGCCCTGCCTTTTCACATAACTGAATAGAAAGGCATTTCTCCAGATCATGGATTGCTTTTTTTCTCCTCTAAAATTTCTAAATGTGATGTTAGGTTTGGAGCCAAATGCTACCCTTCTGCCAGATATTCACAAATATGCATCCTTTTCTCTCCTGTGATTTAACACAAATACTTCCCCAAATTATCTGGGCCACAGATGTTGACTTGGGAACTTGAAAACAACAGTCTACACTCTTACCATTCTGCTAAAATCGTATGAAACATCCAGAGTCAACAGTTGACTGGAATATGGGGTGCTCTCAGCCTCCCCAATGTGGCTGTTGATTGTTATCGGTGAGTGCAGGATTGTCTGTCCTCTCAGAAGTTTCTGTAATTTTGGAGCCAGAGAAGCAGCCACCTTTAATTTGAAATAAAATCACATATTATCTCACTGCATGTTGGTGAATTCCCTAAAGAATTGTATTCACCAACGAAAGTAACTCATTAGATCTTGTTTTAAGAAAAAGAAAAACTGGATGACTATGCTGCTGCTGTGAAGTTGGGTGTTGGTCGGGAGTATGATCTGATTGTTCAAACACAGCTAGCTCTGTGTGTTACATCACTGCTTCCTCCCCAAACTGGGAGCATGACCAGTGCCTGGGAGTCTGATTTCATCAACAGGCAAGCAGAAACAGAATCCAGGTTGTTCTTGGCAATGAGGAATACAAATGATATCACAGCTTTTTGAGGGAACTAAGAAATAGGTGAGCTGTTTGAAGTGTACATGGTAGAAGGCCAGTGGTCGCCAACTGTTTTTTGTTTGTTTGTTTGTTTGTTTTCAAAATCCTTGTTCAAGTATCACTAGAAAGGACACAAAGCTGCCATTTATCTCCATAGACCAGGAATTCATAGAAGAATCCTCATTGCTAGTTGTTATAAGTTTCTTTCTCTTACTCTTGTTATAACCCATTCCTTCCTCTTCATCTGTCAGCTGAAGGTGGCCATCTGTGTCACTGTCGCCAACCAGTCTGATACTGAAACAAGGTGAGACATGTAGTAAAAACTTAAGACATCCCTCCAACACTACAACCCTGATGACGGCTATAGCTGTGACTTAGTACAGAACTGAGACAATAATTGATTGATTGATTTGACTCTCACAGCATATTGAGAGGAAGTAACATCACCAGCGTTGCATCTGAACGGAAGTTCATGTCTGGGGATCGCTCCAAGCCCACCTGTACACATTGCATCCTCACCATCTTTGTTAGGAGTGAAATGAGCAGCATTGTACTGGGCAAGTCCTGCCCAGCCTATTGAATGGCAGAGATAGGCCCAAGAGAGTAGAGCTTAGAAAGCAAGAAAATAGTTGAGGGGGCTTGCCTTCTAAGGACACAAATGGTATTTTGGTCTTATGATTTGTGGGTGATGTTTATCTTTATGGACTTGAGACTTGTTTGCTGTTTCTACACTGTACTTGTATTCTGAACATATATTAATTCACTTGTTCTTCTTGACCAAGTATTTTCATTATCTGTATACCCCTTTCTACCCCATGAAATGACAGACTGTCTGCTAACCCATACTCATATCAGAGTCAGAGGGGAGACTGCCTTCCTATGCCTGTGTATGTTCTTTTGTTAAAGTCTTAATATTAGACAAAATTCGCAGCTGGCTTCCTGCCCCTTCATTGTTAGTAACTGCTGTGTTCTAGAGTCTCCACCAGCCCTTTTACTAATAGGAAGCACAAGCAAATACTGATGAATGAAATCTCTGTGGTAGAATCAGCACTACTGTTGTGAAAATCTTTTGTGAACCTTTTTCACTGATGGGGTTTCTGTTTCTCCATTTGCTATATATGTATGAGAATCCCAGCTGTGTGCTGAGTGCTGTTGTAAGGGCTACAACTGCATGGACAGTCTTCCCTCATGATCTTGTGTTCCACAGTAATGAGACTGGCATCGGATGGTGATTTTTTCGTAAGATATGAGGTGTAGAGAAAGGAGTGTGCAGGACACTGGGCTTGAGCAGAAAGTAAATCGTGAGTTCAGCAGTACTCCTAGAAGATGAGAAAAAAAATGTGGGTTGGACTCCCACCAAACTCCCCCCAAAACACAGACAATGGCTCCCAATTTGTAATGTACTTAAGAATTCACTCTAGGTTCTATCCGGAGATTCTGTTCCACTTGGTGTAGACAAAAGCCTGAGAGTCCAGGTTGAATGAGCTCTCCAGGAAATCCTACCTGGGCAGTACTGGGATATAAACCTTCATTTCTAATCTAAAATTGCTAGCGTCGATTGCATAGATTTCAACCCACAGATGAAATTTTAATGTGGTAGAGGTGAGGTGTGTAGTTTCCGGGTAACTGAGGAAGCAGCTTCTTGAGAATGAGGACTCTTAGCCCATTGTGTCGCATTCTCTCCTTCTGCTCTCTCTCATGTTGCTTTAAAAAAAAAATAAAAGATTCCCAAAAATACAAAACTGAAGTTAATACCATAAAGTTAGAGGAAAGCCTTTTTAAAGGTGGGGATGGCATTTTGGCAGTTTTGTTGGATAAATAACTG